CCTTCCTTCCTTCCTTCCTTCCTTCCTTCCTTCCTTCCTTCCTTCCTTCCTTTATCATATTAACTTACCTCTGTTATCAATTTTTGGTAAATTTTTGTAGGTGTAATAATCTTATTGTCCCGCAGGTGTCACAGCTGCTGCCATGGTGTGGTAAGACAGGGTCAGTTGAAGAACAGTCCTGTCCCACTTTGGTTCTGTATGTTGGTGCCTGGTTAAATACTGAAAAATATGCTTTGCTTTTTGCTTAAGAGCAATTAAATCAATTCCATACACAGAGAGAGTGTGAGCCCAGAGCTCAAGAACAGAGAAGACAAACCAGAAGCTGCACATGGGCTCACGTGCACTGCACAAGTTGCTGTCTGTCAGGGAAGGGGGCAGCAGGGTTATTTATTTAGAGATGACTCACAAATCACAGTCCTCTGCAGGAACGGGGAATAGGGTCTGAATCCAGCAGCTGGAAGAGAGAGCATGCGCAAGATTTATGTCTGCATTTATAGTATAAGAGGCCATGTTCAAGAGAGCTGGTATCTTAAAGGCTATTCACTAAAGACTTTCCCACAGGAGTGTGTTTCGTTTTGCAGAATTTGGGAAATTAAAATATGTACAACATAAGATAATACATATTCAGGATTTCAGTGGACACCTGCTTTGAGTTTTGCAAAGATTTTGTAATCTCAGTTTGTTAGAAGTTGTGTCCATCATGGGGACACCTGTACAAATTAAGACTAACAATACTCAAGCATATGTCTCTAGTAAAATGAAACATTTTGTGTGTCACAACACCTGCAAATCAAGCATATTGCAGGTGTACCACACAATCCTACCTGGCAAGTACTTATAGGAAGATCAAATCAAACTCTAAAAGATATGTTTAATAAGCAGAAAGGGATGAGGTGGCACTGGCACACGCCTTCAGTCACAGCACTAGGGAGGCAGGAGCAGGTGGATATCAGCGAGTTTGAGGCCAACCTGGTCCACAAAGCAATTTCCAAGACAGCCAGGACTATTATGCAGTGAAACCCTGTCTTGAAAGACCAAAAAGTAAAAATAAATAAATAAATAAAAAGAAGGGGTAAGAAAGATACCCAGAAATAGAATGCACAATGCTTTATTAATTTTAAATTTTCTAAATGCTAATGAGAAAGAAATGACAGCTGTGGAGAGACATTGGATAACAGAAAAAAAGAGCTGAATTCAATCAGCCTCCATGACCTCAGAATGGAAACCAGGGTATGTGTTATTTTGAGGAAGAGGTTTTGCTTTTGTTTCCACAGGAGAAAAAAACGTTATGAATATCATCAAAATTGATGAAGATTAGATTCAAACAGGAGAGACATCATGATTAGAAAATGTAATAAATAGTTCATTAATCAATGTGACCATTCAGTTTAAATGAACTTTAAAAACTAACAGATGCTTTTGATTTGATCAGATATAACCTGCCAAAAGTTAGGGTTGAAACAGGGTTTCATTTTTGCCTTTCCAGGAGAATAAAGGCACCCAGCTAAGGAATCTGAAGATGGCTAGACAAATGAGACACCTGAAGAAGAAGAACAAATCATCCTGAGAAAATGTTCCAATACAAAGCATAAATTGTCTTTTTGGTATATCACATTTCCAACAGGATAAAATTTTATAAATCCTCCCAAATGTTTGTTTCTGCTGTTTCTACAGATATATAATACAAATGGTTTTTTTATAGTCCCAGTTCAATTAAAAATTAATTCTGCCTTTGGAGTTGGAGAATGACTCCGCCTTCTCTAAATTCAAGCATGCTTGTTAAAGGAAAATCCAAAATCTCTGTCTCATGTCAGAAGAACCACCTGATATGGGACAGAAGAAAAACCAAAATTAAGCGACTGTTCTATCGCCACTAATCTCATAATTCTTTGATTTTGACTCTTTAAAACTTAAAAAAAATTTATTTATTTATTCATTCATTCATTCATTCTTTTATTTATTTATGTTTGTATGCAGTGTTCTGCCTGAATGCCAAAAGAGGGCACTATATCAAATTATAGATAGTTGTGAGCCACTATGTGGTTGCTGAAAATGAACTCAGGACCTCTGGAAGATCAGTCAGTGCTCTTAACCTCTGAGCTATCTCTTCAACTGAAAACTTTTTTTAAGGTATAAATATTATCTCAAAACTTTACTATATATATTATATATAATAAATATTATATATATTATGTTATAATATATAATATATATATATTTTAAGTTTTGAGATGATATTTATGATCAATAGAGCACTAACTAATTCTAGAAGGTGGCTCCATCTAGCTTCTTGTACATGATTTTGGATTTGAGTCTCTATCAGGTAAATAGGGATTAAGTTTTTGTACTCTGGATTATATAACAAATTATGGTCCTTTAACCTCTTCAAGATCTGCTGCATATACATTTAAAATGTTTTAAGTTTTCTGCAGTGAACCATGGCCATGCCTAACAGTGACCTTTGAAGTCTCTGGAAGTAGGATGGGGCTTCCATGATGCCCCCAGAATATGGTAAAGTCAGTAGGCTGATAATAACACCTGAAGTTTGGCTGTGCTACAAACTGCTCAGGGGAATTTCAAGGGTCCCTTAAAGGTGCTATCAACCCTACACAACAGGAAGTAATTTTAAGAACATGATGCCCACATACCCAAGAGGTGGGGTGAGGTTTTGGTAGTTCGGTGGGTTATAGATACTTGTCATCCTTTAGGGAGGTTGGTTATAAGTTGTTATTGGTAATGGACATGAAAAACACAGAAATAATGAGATTAGATTCAGGAATTTTGTTCTGAAATTAAAAAGAAGGGATATAGAAATGATAGGATAAAAGGGTATATTATTGAATCTACTTTTAAACTAAAAAAGCAACTACTAACCTTAAATATTTAACATTGGTAATGATTTTTATATATTGATGCAAATTTGAGATTTTTTTTATACTGAATACATGTTTTTTTTATCACCATGTCCCCAGGTAGCTGTATGACCCCCCAACAGGCAGAGGCAGCCACAGCACCCTGGAATGTTTCTTTGGCAGACAGAAAATGAATACATGTTTTGATCTTAAGAATTTTATATATTGATACAAATTTAAAACATACTGTACATACTGTATATACTTAAATGAGTTACTATTCATTTAAGGTATTGTACCTAGACAGCTCATTTTATAACGTAATGTAAATTTCTAGTCCTTGAAATTTATTATACAAACTATTTAGGATAATAAGAAATGCATGTTAGTAGTTAGTTTCCTATTACAATCAAACTTGTAGTCATGTGAGATGTGTTTTCAAGGTCAGACAGCCATGTATTTTAGATAGACAGGTGGTCTTTAAGCACTTCAGAGATCTACAGAATATGGCATTTAAGATGTTTTGATAACATAAGTGTTTTATTTTATGACAATGAGACCTGTCTGCTCCTAGTAATACCAATGAATCTACCTCAGAGAAGATGATGGGCATCAAAGAAACTCCATATGGAGTTTACTGCCTTTGTGACAAAAGCTAGCCACTGAGCAAGAAACTGCCCTTGCGTCAACTGCTGACAGTATGCTGTCCTAATTGGATAAGCAGGACACAAAAGAGAGTTACTGCTGAACTTTGCCAAGACAAAACAGGACAGTACTTCAAAAATCCTGCTTCACAGAAAAGTCTATCAAATATTCTAGGCTCATAAACCAAAGATGGATACCTCAATGTCACAGAGAAACCTTGGGTAGCTGTCCAGGCAGTCAGCTCTGTCTGTCATTTCTTAGTTTTGGAAATTGTTTGCTCTGCACTTCCTGTTTACACAGGTAATATTATTTCCTTCTCAGGTCTTTGATGCTGTTGAAGACTAGATAATTATAACTTTCCTTGTTAAAAAACTCAGAAAAGAAACTTAGAAAAGAGGTGTAAATTGTATAAAGTCGAGAGACATAAAATGATAGTTCTGGGTTGGTAATCCAAGTTAGGATAGAAAGTGAATTAATAATTACACTTTGGACTCACCAAGATAGGATAAAATGGAGTATTTTTTTCTGTATTTGTCTAATGCAAATGTACTGGACATTGTTAATGTAGTTCTTGTCTGTATGTATTTATATATAGTCATTGTACTTATTGAATATAGTTTTTCTATGTTAGTTAAAGCCTTCACTTTTTATTTAGACATAAAGGGGAAAACGTTGTGTGATATTTTCATTGTGTTCTGACAAATAAAGCTTGCTTGGAGTCAGAGAATGGAGCTAGTCACTAGCTAAACATAGAGGTCTCCAGGTCTGTACAGAGAGAAGACAGGAAGTGATAGGTGGGGCTGAGACAGGATCTTGGTCTCTTTGGTCTCAGACCTTTTGGATGGAGTAACAGAAGACACAGGAAGTCCCTGGTGGCCGCTCTGACGCTCTCTGATCCTTCAGGGTTTGACCCCATATCTGACTCCTGGTTTTTATTAATGAGATTAATTAGATTTACTCTTCATGTGTGTGTCTGTGTATGTGTGTCTGTGTATGTATGTGTCAGTTTGTTTCTCTATGTGTCAGTGTGTATGTGTGTCTCTGTGTGTGTATGTTCTCTGTGTGTGGGGGGGTGTCTGTTATGTGTCTGTGGGGGTGTGTGTGTCAGTGTGGGTGTGTCTCTATGTGTGGGTGTCTGTGTGTCTGTGTGTGTGTTTCTCTGTGTGTCTGTGTTTGTGTATGTGAAGTCAGAAGAAAACTTGCAGGTGTCATTTCTCTTCACCTGGACCAAACTCAGGTTGCCTCCTTCTCAGCAAGCTCCTTCACGGAGTGTGCCGTCTCACTGACCCAGTCTTGTGTGAGCCCTGGCGTCTCTGGATTCTGCTGTCTCTGCCTCCCTCCTCTGTGGTAGGCATCAGCTGAGCCACAGCACCTTGACAGCTGTCACACTGCCCAGGGGACTGTGCAGGAGTTGGCTGGAGTACTTCCAGAACTCTCAAAGATTACATATCGTGCAGTATGTCCAGAGGCTGCATGGTGGGAGAGGCCACGATGGCTCAGCAGTTAGCGCTCTGATTGCTCTTACAGAGGACCCAGGTTTGGTTCCCAGCACCCACACAGCTGGGGATCTGATACTCCCTGCTGGCCACTTTGGGCACTGAATACATGCGGAGCTCAGTGATACACAGCCAAAACACCCACACAAGAAAAATATTTTAAAATAGAATAAATGAGATGTCAGAGCATGATGGTGTCTCTGTCTTGCTCCCTCTAGGCACCACATGGTGAGGACGGGGAAGCTGTTTGGTTCCAGACCGCTAGCTAGTGGGGTAGGTGGTTCCTCGCATATCCCTGTTCCCCGCGGCTGTGCAACAAGTGTTCCTGGTGTTATCTTTTCCTTCTCTTGATCTCGGTGGCCCAGGCTGAGTCTCTGAGCTCTGGGCCTCCTCCTGACCTGTCTGTGGTCTGTGTGTCTGCAGGACAAGCTATCCTATGCCTCCGTCAGCACACACGTGCTCAGGAACTTCTGCCAGAGTAACATTGCCCTGTACCTTGGGTGAGTTGCTTTCCCTTCTCTTCCCCCTTCTGCCCCTGTCCCTCTCCCTGCCCTTCCCCCTGTTTCCCCCCGTCTCTCATTTTTCAAAAACCAAGCAACTCTGGCCGAAATTGTTAGTCTGTGGCCCACAGAGAACCCTAGCTGGGCTGGGTATGGACAGGAAGACCTGGGCACAGGCAAAGCTATGCCACTCAGGGGACAATATGCCAAGCCTGTGGCTTCCACCAATCACAGGCTGACAGAACAAAACAAAACAATAAAAAGTTATTCTCTTGGCTTAAACATTTTTAAATTACACTGATTTATTTGTGTACTTATTGAGTATTTATTGAGTGTACATAGCACCTATGTAAAGGTCAGAGGCCAATTTGGGGGAGTCGCTTCTCTCTTTCCATACTGTAGTTCTGGGGATAAAACTTGGGTGATCAGGCTTGGTGGCAAGCGTGTTAAACACCCTGCCCATCTTACTAGTCTGGGCTTTGTTTTGTTTCTTCAAGACAGGGTTTTTCTGTGTAGCCCTGGCTGTCCTAGAACTGACTCTGCAGACCAGGCTGGCCTCGAACTCAAAGAGATCTGCCTGCCTCTGCCTCCCGAGTGCTGGGACTAAAGGTGTGCGGCACCTCACCCAGCTCCGTGTTCTTGTTTTTGTAGACAGACTCTGATTGAGTTTACCAGGAATCCCTCCAGCCTGCAGCACCCACAGGCCTCCCTCCAGAGCGCCAGAGTGGATTGCAGGGTGCAGGGTGCAGCACCACTGCTGGTCACTGGTCCTTAACATGTTTATTTCTTTGTTTATCTGTTTGCTAGTTTTTCGGGACTGGGTCTCACGTGGCCCAGGCTAGCCTGGAACTCTGGATCCTCTGGCCTCGTCTCCAACGTGTTAGGACAGCAGGTGGCCCAGGCTAGCCTGGAACTCTGATCCTCTGGCCTCGTCTCCAACGTGCTAGGATGGCAGGCCTGTGCGGTGCCACTCCTGCCTTATTTCATTGGTGGCCATTTTGCCTCTATGCCATTGGGAAAAAAAGCAGGCAGACACAGTAAAACATTATTCTGGGAGGCTCTGGGGTGGCAAGGAACATGGAAGGAGATGGTCTAAGGCTTGCCCAGCCTGAGAAGCTGACTCTAACTTTTTCTTGGTCACAGGAGGCATATTTTCATGACGATGGACAACTTTGAGAACAGCCTCCCGCCACTCATCTTTCCCAAGAACTTTTCGGTAAACACTTCCCCAGCTGTGACAATGGCGGTAGACACTTCCCCAGCTGTGACAATGGCGGTAGACACTTCCCCAGCTGTGACAATGGCGGTAGACACTTCCCAAGCTGTGACTCCAAATGAACTGGATTCAGAGGAAACTGTGGGTTTAGGTCTGTCAGCCATTGGCCTTTTCCAGGACACCCTCTGAGACGTTGAGTCACAGGAAGCCAGAAGAGGGGGCTTTCATTCCATTGTTTCATTCTACCCTCCCCTCTTTTCCCCTCTCCTTCCCCCTCCTTCTCTTTCCCCTGCTCTCCCCCACCTCCACTCCCCTCCCCTCCCTTTCCCTTCCCTTCTCTTTCCCCTCCTCTTTCCCCACTTCCTCTCCTCTCCTCTCCTCTTTCTTCCCCTCCTCTCCCCTTTGTCTCCTTTTTCCCACCTTATTTTTCTCTAATCCTTGTAGTTTTCAACCTTCCTCCTTTTCTGTTCCCTTTCCCTTAAAATGTTTATTTGAGATTTTATTTTTCTTTTATGCATGTGGTGTTTTGTCTGCATGTCTGTCTGTGCACCACGTGCATGTCTTGTCCCCAAGGAGACCAGGGGTATGCACTGCATCCCCTGGAACTGGAGTAAAAGATGACTGTGAGCCTGTGTGGGTGCTGGGAACCCAATCTCGGCCACCTTCAGAAGTGGCTTGTGCTCATGACCACTGAGCCTCTCTGCAGTCTCTCAGGGGAGTTCCTGCTGAGAGAAAAGGAGGCACACAGGTTGATAGAGCCCAGCTTTGCCTTCCAAACTCAGCATTTGGCCAGTTGCAGTTCAGTTTCCAATGAGGAAGAAGCAAGTGAGTTAGTGACTGAGGAGACGGCTCTATGAGGAAGTGAGGCCATGTCTGCAAACCACCAGAGCCCACAGAGAAATGTGGTCTGCAAATCCCCAGAGTCCACAGAGAAGCGTGGTCTGCAAACCCCCAGAGTCCACGGAGGAGCATGGTCTGCAAACTCCCAGAGTCCATGGAGAAGAGTGGTCTGCAAACCACCAGAATTCATAGAGAAGCGTGATCTGCAAACCCCCAGAGTCCACGGAGAAGCATGGTCTTCAAACCACCAGAGTCCACGGAGAAGCGTGGTCTACAAACCGCCAGAGTCCACAGAGAAGTGTGGTTGCAGAGTTCACCAAAGTACATGGAGAAACATGATCTGCAAACCTACAGAGTCCACAGAGAAGTGTGGTCTGCAAACCCCCAGATTCCACAGAGAAGCATAGCCTGCAAACCGCCAGAGTCCACAGAGAACTGTGGTCTGCAAACCCCCGGATTCCACGGAGAAATGTGGCCTGCAAACCACCAGAGTCTACAGAGAAGCGTGGCCTGCAAACCACCAGAGTCTACAGAGAAGCGTGGCCTGCAAACCACCAGAGTCCACAGAGAAGTGTGATCAGCAAACCACCAGAGTCCACGGAGAAGTGTGGTCTGCAAACCCCCAGAGTCCACGGAGAAGCATGGCCTGCAAACCACCAGAGTCCACAGAGAAGTGTGGTCTGCAAACCACCAGAGTCCATGGAGAAATGCGGTGTGCAGAGGACACAGAGAAGTGTGGTGTGCAGAGGACACAGAAAAGTGTGTGTAGAGGATACCAGTGGACACAGAGAAGTGTGGTGTGCAAAGGTGCACCAGAGTATCCAGAGGCAAAGAGAGGATGGGACCTGGAGCTCTGAACACCAGCCAAACAGAGAACTCCAGGGTCAGTGAGACCTGACCTTGGAATATGAGATCAGAGGAAGCTTGGTGGTTAGAGCATTTGGCTCAATCTCCAGCACCCACATATGGCTCACAGCCATTGTCACTCCAGCTCCAGGGGTCTGACACCCTCTTCTGGCCTCTGACATGCTCAAGGGCACGTGACAGATACATATAAACACAAATAATGAACCTTTTTAAAAGTTGAATTTGTACCAGGCAGTGGTGGCTGCACACCTTTAATCCCAGCTCTCTGGAGGCAGAGGTAGGTGGATCTCTAAGATCAAGGCCAATCTGGTCTACAAGAGCTAGTTCCAGGACAGCCTGGGCTACACAGAGAAACCCTGTCTTGAAAAAACAAAACAAAACCAAAAAAAAAATGCTCAATTTGCTTTGTGTGTGAGTAACTCCATGTCACACTGTCTGTCTTTATTCTTAGGTGGGAATACCATCGGTCACAAGCGCTTTCTTTGCTCCTGGTTCAATAATATTGTTCGTGGTGAATAGAAGAGTCTACATTTACAATTATCTTACAGACAAGTGGAGTAATGCTCAAGGTTTGTGGTCCCCCATGCCTGAAGCATGTCCCCCGCCCCCTACTGTCCCGTGACTTCTGTGCTGTCCCCCTTCCTTTGCTGCACTTGGTCTGGTTTTGTTTTGTTACCGAATATGTCGTCAATTTTTGAGATGGTTCCATGAGGTACCGAGAAGAAGGTATATTCTTTTCTGTTTGGATTGTTCTATAGATGCCAATTAAGTCCATTTGAGTCATAACATGTTAGTTCTCTTATTTCTCTATTCATTTTTTGTCTGCTTGACTTGACCTGTCTAGTGCTGAGAGGGGAGTGTTGAAGTCTCCCACTATTAGTGTGTGGGGTTTAATGTATGATTTAAACTTTAGAAGTGTTTCTTTGACATATGAGGGTGCCCTTGTATTCGAGGCATAGATGTTCAGTATTGATATTTCCTCTTGATGTTTTTTTCCTGTGACTAATATAAAACGTCCTTTTTTGTCTCTTTTGAATGACTTAAGCTAGAGGTCGATTTTGTTAGATATTAGGATAGCTACACCTGCTTGTTTCTTAGGTCCATTTGATTGGTATATTTTTTTTCCCAACCTTTTACTCTGAGACGATGTCTGTCTTTGAGGTTGAGATGCGTTTCTTGTATGCAGAAGAGGGATGGATTCTGTTTTTGTATCCAAACTGTTAGCCTGTGCCTTTTTATGGGTGAGTTGAGTCCATTTACATTAAGGTTGCTATCTCCTGTTATTTAGTTTTCATCATTGGTGATGTTAATTTGTGTATTTTTTTTTCTTCTTTGGGATTTGCTGTAATGAGATCATCAATTGTGTGTGTTTTTGTTGGTGTAGCCATCTTCCTTGGGTTGGAGTTTTCCTTCTAGTATTTTGTGTAGGGCTGAGTTTGTGGCTAGGTATTGGATATCTAGATTTGTCATGGAATATCTTGTTTTGTCCTTCTATGGTGATCGACAGTTTTGCTGGGTATAGTAGTCTGTGCTGACATCTGTGGTCTCTAAATGTCTGCATAATGCTTGACCAGGACCTTCTGGCTTTCACTGACTCCACTGAGAAGTCAGGTGTAATCTGATAGGTGTGCCTTTATATGTTACTTGGCCTTCTTCCTTTGTAGCTCTTAATATTCTTTCTTTACTCTGTATGTTTAGTGTTTTGATTATTATGTGGCGAGAGGACTTTTTTTGGATCCAGTCTATTTGGTGTTCTGTAAGCTTCTTGTATCTTCATAGGCATATCTTTCTTTAGGTAGGGAAAGTTTTCTTCTATGATTTTGTTAAATAAATTTTCTGTGCCTTTGAGTTGAACTTTTTTCTTCTCCTTCTTCTATACCTATTGTTCTAAGATTTGGTCTTTTTATGTTGTCCCATATTTCATGAATATTTTGAGTTAAGCTTTTGTCAGATTTAATGTTTTCTTTGACTGATGAGTCTATTTCCTCTATTTTATCTTCAGCACTTGAGATTCTCTCTTCCATTTTGTGTATTCTGTTGTTCATGCTTGCATTTGTGGTTCCTGCTCTTTTTCTCATGATTTCTGTTTCTATAATTCCTTCGACTTGTGTTTTCTTTATTTTTTCTATCTCAGTTTTCAAGTCCTGAATAGTTTCTTTTATATGTTTGAGTTCTTTTTCTTGGTTTCCTTTAAATGTTTTGCTGATATCTTCCAATTTTTTGTTTGTTTTTTTCTTCCATTACTTTAAGGTAATTTCTCATTTCATCTTTAAGAATTTCAAACATTCTCTTGAGTTTATTTTTTAGATCATTTTCTTTTGGTTCATCCATATTTGGTTGTTCAGGTCTTGCTGTTGTAGGGTCTTTAGGTTTTAATGGTGTTGTATTGCTCTTTGTGGTGTAGCACGTGATCTTACCTTTTCTACTCATCTTTTCCTCTAATAGGTGTGGTTGGGGTTGTCTGAGATTCTGTTGAATAATCTTCTAGGTGCCAGTGAATCCCAAGGTGAGATGGTTGTTCCTAGTGGTACAGTCAGTGTTTCAGTTCTAGTTACCTCATTGGTTACTCCTGTTCCTGGAGATAGCTCAGTGCTCCTGTGCTTGGCTCTGCTCCCTTGGAGTTTGCTGTCTCAGGCCTGTTTTGGCCTAGGCTGCTGGCTTTGACCTGTATCTGTAAATCTTGGTCTGGATCCCCTCCTGCAGAAGTCCCTGGCTTGAAGTTGGACCTGTTCTAGTGACAATCACTGGCTCTGGCTCTGGTTGCTGGGTTAATCCTGATTTGTCCGTGTCCCGTGTTTGCTCCTGGCTTCTGCTCCTGGTGGAGCTTGTTCTCTCTGTGTCTTAGGTAACTGGTTCAGTCCCACTCTGATTCCGGTGGAGATCGCAGACTCTGAGTCTGATCGTTGGCTCACTCTTTGTCTGCCAGTGTCCCAGGACTGGGTTGGCTCCCAAGACTGAATTTGCTCCTGGCTTCTGCTCCCAGTGGAGCTTGTTTCCTCAGGCCCTCTCTGTCCTAGCTGTCTGGAGACAGGGCCTCGTGTAGCACAGACAGGCCTCGACCCAGTTAAATAGCCAGAATGACCTTGAGTTGGTGGTCCCCCGTCCCCTTCTCTGCAGTGCTGGGGTGGTAGGAATGGTGAACCCTGTATGGTTTATGCAGTAGCGGGGTGGAGCCTATGGCCTGTGCATGCTATGCAGGAACTCTACCCCCTGAGCCGCAGGTCCATTCCCAAGTTTGGTGGGTTTTTTCCTTTTTATTGTATTGTATTAGTGTTTGCCTGTCTGTCTGTGTGAATCACATATGCACAGTGCCCATACAGGCCAGGAGCGGGCATCAGGTCCTGCTTTGGAATATTTGTTGAGCTATGGAAAGATGTGCTGCATTTGTTTAATTTTTAAAGATGTGTTCACTGTTTTACCTTGCCTGTCTAAGGCGCCTGACTGGTCTAATAAAAAGCCAAATGGCCAATAGCAAGGGAGGTATAAGTAGGATTTCCAGGCAGGGAGAGTAAGGATGAGGAGGAGGAATTTAGGCTTCAAGAAAGAAGAGAGACATCACGGAGACGCTAGGGGCAAGCCAGTGAGACATGGAGGAAACAGGGAAGTAGGACACACAGAATGACGGAAAGGTAAAAAGTCCTGAGGCAAAGCAGGTTAAATTAAGTTATAATAGCTAGTGGGACAAACCTAAGCTAAGACTGAGCATTGATAATTGATAATTAATAATAAGTCTCCATGTCTTTTGGGGGTGCTGGTTGGTAGCCAAAGGAAAACTCCAACTCCAGGGTCCCCTGGAACTGGTGTCACGGAAGTCTGTGAACTGCTGTACAGGTCTCTTCTGTGAGAGCTGCGGTTCTCTAACCAGTCCCTGTGTTGTTCTGAGAACTCAGATTCACAATCCTCCTGCCTCAGCCTAAAGTCTAAACTAACAGGCAGGTGCTATCATGCCTGACCTAATACTTAACTTTGGAGAATTCAAAATATGCAGCCAGGTGTGTTGGCACAGGACTCTCAGCCCAGCATTTGGAATGTGGAAAGCAGGAAGTTTCAGAATTTGGATGTCAACCAGGGATGGCTAGTCAGTTGTAGGCTGATGAGATTCTGTCTCAAAAACAAAAAGAAAACTCACAGCTGCCTATGGCTCCACCTCCAGGGAACAATGTCCTCTCCTGGGCACTTCAGGCACCTGCACTATGTGCATGTACACGCGTGCATGTGCACGTGTGCGCACGCGCGCGTGCACACACACACACACACACACACACACACATGTATTTACAATGTAACTATTTTATTTTATTTTCCTTTCAGGTGTAAAAACTCCTGTCTCACACATTAGTGGTGACAGTTGTTGTTTTAGTAACCGATTTTGCGTGGTAAGTTGAAATCTTTCATTTAAAAAGAACATTAGATTCTAAGTGCAAATACTTAGAAATGACCTAGGGACCTATAAGTAGAGGTAGCCATAGGTGGTGTCACTTACCCATACTCAGAGGAAGGCTGGACCATGAGGTAACTTCCCTTGGGATTGACCAGTCAACCAGGTTGAAAGTGCATCTTCCTTTATTGTTGTGTGTTGGGATGCTTTCTTGGTTTTTGAGGAAGGGTCTCATCTAACCCAGGCCAAATATGACTTTCAACTCCTGATCCTCCTGTCTCTACCTCTAAGGAGCTAGGATGACAGGCCTGACCTGAGCACTCACCTTACACTGTCCGACACAGTTTTTGTTTGTTTAATAGACAGGTAAGTCTGGGGGCTGGAGGCAGGCAGATGTGAGTTGTGAGGTCCAGGCTAGTCTGGTGTTCATAGTAAGGTCTAGACTAGCTGGGGCTACTTAGAACTATCAAGAGCTGAGAGAGAGAGAGAGAGAGAGAGAGAGAGAGAGAGAGAGAGAGAGAGCAGGCAAACAGGCCAGATCTCAGCCTGTGGTCAGGATCACAGGAACCATGCCAGTGAAGCTGACATTAGAGACTCCTGAGGGCAGTTTATACTGGGTGGAAATGGTGGGAAGGAGTACAGTCAGGTGCACAGGGCAGCTCAGCACAGGATGTAGTGGGAAGCTGAAGGCTCGTTTACATCGGAAATGATGATCCCAAGGTCATGTTGAGAGCACTGGGCAGGCGAAGCAATTGATTTTATTTGAACCTTGCAAAGTCTGGCATTAGATTAGAGAAGAGGCAAACGTAGCTGCCAGTGTGGTGTGCCATACTGTGGGATAGCCCTTCGGAACATCCTGAATATGTATTGCTCTCATTGGTTAATAAAGAACGAACTGGCAGTAGCGAGACAGCCAAACTAAGGAATCTGGGAAGAAGAAGGGTAGAGTCAGAGGAGTCTCCAGGAGACACAGGGATCAAGATAGGACGAACCATGTGGCAATACATAGATTAATAGAAATGGGTTAATTTAAGTTGTAAGAGCTAGTTAGTAATGAGCCTCCAAACATTTATATTTAACAAGCCTCAGTGTGGTTATGTGGGAATGAGCAGGCAGGATAGAAACTTCTGTGGACAGTAAGACAAGGGCTTTGATGTTCTGACACCCTTTCCTTGCCAGTGAGGTTCTCACAAGGTGGGTTTTCAGGGAGGGGCCTTCCTGAGTACCCATCCACTGTATCAGGACATAAACCTTGTGTCCTGTGACTCAAAACTTCCCCCTTTCTGAGGAGTGGCACAGTCCTGTGACAGACTGCCTGTGGTTACTCAGCCCAGGGGTGACCTAAGAGGTCCCCGACCATGCTACAGCTGCCGAAGGCCAGGCCTCCCGTTGGCTGAAACTCTGTGGGGAGCTCACAACACACCTAACACCATTTCTTATAGCTCACTGCTAGATTTTACCTTTAATATTTTTAGGCTGTGGTTTACTTGGGAGGGGAGATCACTGAATCCCCTGAAAGTAAATCATGGAGAAAGCCTGTAAGCAAGGTGCAGTGAAACTCTTGAACCAGAGCATTCCATGGCCCCAATAAAATAAACAGCCGGCCGGGACGGGGAATGAGTGTGGGGGTTATGTGAGAGCCGACTGGGTGAGGGTCTCTGAGCTGACGTGGGTGGTTTGAGTTAACCTGGACCCAGACACAGTCTACAGTGTGACTGTGGATGGTGGGGGGTGGGAAAGTGATGCTTTCCTGAGGAATGCTGATCTTAAGTTTCTGTTTATCTGGTAGGAATCTGCCCTGGTTTGGGCCTGGGCCACCATCTTAGGCCACTGTCAATAGCACAACCATTTATGGGGTGGGGGACACCTACTTTGTGACCTATCCAGAGGGAGCTATTGTCCAGAAATGCCCATCGCCACAGAATTGCCCTTCATTCAGCCCGCTGATAGGCATACTCGGCCTCCTGGAGATCACCCGTCTGTAACTTCATTGTTTCAGGAATATGTCATTGTTTGTAGGCAGACTTTTCTTTCCTGCCTGCCAGTTCCAAATAACCAACCCAGAGTCTTCATATTAATTGTATAAATGCTCGGCAATGGCTCAAACTTAGGACTGTTGGGGTCTATGAGTGTTCCCATGAAAGGCCATCATTCACACGTGTGATCAGCAAGAGCGTCTCTTTACTGCGCCAGCGTGTGCAAGGTGGACTGGTGCCGACCCCGAGTGAAGCGGACTCTTCCTGAGACAGTGAAATGCGATGGTTAAGTAAGCATCGGCTGTGGCTGTGTCAGTGTGCTCCTCAGAGGCTGAGGTTTAATCTTTGGGCACAGCGTGGGCAAGTCCGGACATGACCCAGAACGGGGGGGGGGGGGGGGCTAGGGCTTGTCCTGAGACACTGTGGCGCCCCCTTGACCCTTAATGTAATCTGTTGATAAATGGCGCTTTGTTGGAAGAGATGCTTGTTTGTCCCTCTCAGAGAACTGAACCCTAAATTCAGGTGTAAAAGCGGGAGAGTTTAACCCCTTCAGTTACTAGCTAACTCTTACAACTTAAATTAACCCATTTATAGCCAGCTACACTGCCACACAGCGGTACAGCTTCCTGTTTCCTCTCTGTGACTGGTGTGGTGACTCCTGACTCCGCCCCTCTTTCCGGAGTCCTTAGTCTGATTCTCCCTCCTAATCTTATCCTGTCCAGCTTTGTGCCAGTCAGCTTCTTTATTTAACCAATCACAGTAACATATATTCACAGAGTGTAGAGGAATATGCCGCAGCGGTTACTGTCCTATTGCTGGCATGAGACAGCACGGCCAAGGCATTTACAGAAGAGTTTGTTGGGGTTCACACGTTCAGAGGGTGTGTCCATGACCGTCAGGGTGGGAGCATGGTGGCAGGCAGGCATGGTGCTGGAGCAGCAGGTGAGAGCTCATGTCCTTATCTACAGGCAGGAGAGGGAGAGAGAGGGAGAGGGAGGGAGAGGGAGGGAGAAGGAGGGAGGGACAGAGAGAGAGCGAGAGAGAGAGCTAACCAGGCCTGCTGTGGCCTCAAAGCCCACCCCATGCCATACCTCGTCCACAAAGACCACGTCTCCTGACCCTTCCCAAACAGGTCCGACAATTGGGGACCAAGTGTTGAGACAGATGAACCTGGGGGGCATTCTCCATCAAACGCCGTAGAGCGTGAGTTCCAGCATGGCAGAGCAGCCTTGGCAGCTCTTGTCTGCATCAGAGACCTGCTCAGTTCTGGGTGTGCGTCGCTCCCACACCCCTCTAAGTGCTGAGTAATTTGGTTGTTTCCCCTTTTGACTGTTAAAAACAACGTTGTACTGAGCGCTCTGCCCCAGTCATGTGACCCCACTAACTATGGGGTGCATATGGTAACCCAAGTGGTGAAACTGCATCTCTGTGGGGGGTGGGAGCAGAAGCCCCCTGTGAGTCCTTGTGTATAGGTTTCCATGTATGCTCAAAGTTGTCCCTTTTTTGGATTGGATGCCTGAGGATAGGTCAGTGAAAGTCATCCTCAGGTATAGCTAAGAATGACCTAGAATTCCTGGCCTTCCACTTTCCAAGCTTCAAGATGTGGGCATACGTCAGCAACTGGGTTTCTGTGGTGCTAGAATAGACACCGGGGCCTCCTGCCCTCTTGGCAAGCCCTCCACCCAGTGAGCACTCTTGTGATGTCTTCCGTGTGTTCCTTCCCCCAGGAATTAGCTAAAAGTATTTTTGTGTATCTCCGTGGCGACGTGCTGCCTGGGACCAAAATATACTTCTCTGACAATGGAGGATTCTCGTTCCAGGACCTGGACAGAAACAGTCTGGTAAGCGGCTGGGGAAAGGGAGTCAAGAGCCTGAGGTGGAGGTGGCTCTGGGGAGGCCCTGCCCTCCATGTTCAGTGGGTGATTAATACTGAGGGCAAGGAGGGACACCTGCTTGGGTACTGTGGCTCTTGAAGTGACCCTCAAGTCACACTCCTGCAGGCCGTCCCGATGGAACTCATTGGATCACCTGGCACAGCCTAGAGTCATCTGGGAAGAAGCCACAATTGACAAAAGCCTCTGCCAGATGAGCCTGCGAGGCGTTTTCTTGAATGATGATTGATGCTATAGATGTAGAAGGTGATAGAGTAAGGGACCCGAGCAGATTATCAGGGAGGGGTGAGGGTTTAAGTGAGAGACGAGGTTTAGAACCGGCTGCCCATACATGAGTCCTGTAATCGTAACGACAGTGGAGGAATGGTGTCTAGCAACAGAGAGGTTTGGGGTGTTCCAGACTTGGGGGTCAACCTGGTAGGCTGACAGAGGAAATGACATGTTGGAACCAGTAGGGTGGGTGTCTAGGAGGAGGAGAAGAGCCGCTGGCAAGTCTGGGGTCAGGCAAATGGGGGAGCAAAAAAGAGAAGCTTCTACTTTGGCTAAAAGCCCTTCCCAGTAAGGGCACAGGATAGGTTGGCACCACGGGAAAAGAGTGAGTGAGAGGAACACCCCTGAAAATGCGATTGAGAGGTGGGGTCTGATGAGGTAGGTAAGACAGGGAGACGAGAAGGGGAGATAGGTCCGCAGAATTCTCTCAGGACCAAGTATGTGGTACCAGTGTCCAAGAGGAAGGAGATAGATCGCCCCGATACCGTGATTTCTACCTGTGGCTTCCTGTCAGAGCTGACAAGAGCTCAAGAGAGCCCAGGTCTGTCCAGTCGTCCACGGTCAGGCCCAGAAGGCCGGCTAGAAGGTGGTCTATGTCTGATGTCCCCGTGCCACTGAAAGACTCCCGTGGGCATCTTCCTTCGAGAGAGACCCCGTGCCCAAAGATCAGTCGAAAACACGCAGCCGGATGCAAACAGCAAGAGGTTTATTGGATACGCAGGTACCTGGGGCGACAAAGTCTCTCGGAGGACTTGCGCACCCGCAGGTTGGGGGTGAGGGGTTTTTATAGGAGAGCAAAAAGTGAGGTTTACAGAAGCAAGATGCGGGGTGGTAAATTCTTAACCTAAATAACAATGAGGGGACTACTCAGCGGTTTACTGTTCCTCTTATCCTGTCCCCCTTTCCTGGCTGGCGACCAGATGTCTGATTGCACAGCCCCTGACTCGTGACGAGCCCCGCTTTATACGTGACTCAGGCCTCGCAATCCTCTCTTTCTTTGTTTCTATGGCCAGTCCATAAATCCCCTGTCTTGCAGCCAGATAAGGCTGTCCTTGCTCTAACCTCAGGTATCTTTGCTCAGCATTCCGGAGGCCCTGAATTAAGCTTGTTATCTGCTCAGCATTCCGGAGGTCCTGAGCTGAGCTTGTTATCTGTGAACCTTTGCAAAACGGTATAACTGTGGTTAAAACGAGTTGTGGTCCTTCACCACGAGGTACACAGGAGCCATCGGCTGACTAGTGTTCCTTTCCATGGCACTCTGGAGATAGCTGAGGGGCCCCGTGAGGACTAGGGCAAGCCCAGTCCCACTGACCTTCCTGACCACACTTGAAACAGGGGCCCAGTGGTCCTTGAGCCCCAGGGGCTGTTGCTGAGGTCGGTTGGATAGCCTTGACCAGCATTTGGTATTGTTACTTAGGCTTTCTCATTTCTCCCATGGTCTTCTGCCTGGAGGGTTAGGAGCCCTCTCTGCAAACACTCTGGAGAATAGTTCACAAAGAGCTGCCCTCCAGGTTTTCAGGGTCCAGATAAGTGTACTATAAGAGGGCCTCTGTGGGGCATTCTAGGCACTGAGACAGATTTTCCTGTCTGTCCTCAACTATTTCCTGAAGGTTTTCACAGTTTACTGACTTAAAGGCAGCCTTACAGAGACCCACCAAGAGGCAGGCTGTAATCTGATCTCTAGCTAGCGTGCCCCCTGGGGTATTATTATGCCATTGGGGGTCGCGTTGGGGACCGCCTCTGCCTGCTCCCAAACTCCCTGCATTACAGTAGATTGCTAGCTAAAATCATATATATATAATGAAAGGTGAAACTTTTTTATGAAAGCAGTAGAGTTAGATGTATAAGAACCCAGTTTTTTTCTATTTGAGAGGGTTCTGCCTGAGAGAAACGGAAATGTACCTTAACCAGTCCATCTCCTCCAGCTACCTCTCCAAAGGGAGACCTGTAGCCAGATTGATTTGTGGGGGTGGGAGATCAGGGCGGGGTTCCACAGCAGTGCGAGGACAAGTAACAGGATGGGTAAAAGTGGGTGGAAGAGTTGGGCGACTGGACTCGCCCGTTGCTGGAGAGGAAGAAGGGGCTGAGATGCATAAGGAGCAGTTAGATGTTGAGGAAGAAGTGGTGGGGTCCACAGTGGGGATGTAAATTAGTGGAGGCTTCTTCCAGTTCAGATCTCACAGCTTGAAGGAAGCACGGGGAGAAAACGCTTGACTGTGTGGTAGCTCCATCTCCCCTTCCTCTGGCAGGAGTTAGGAAGGATCTGTGAACATTGGAATGTAAAGAGCCATTAGCCACTTTGAGTTGTTATCTAGGGGATATTTGGTCAGTTTTTTAGTACAAAGGTGAATGAGTTTAGAAACCTTTAAAAATGGCATTAAGCATAGAGGTTTTAGGTTTCCTAAAAAACATCCCGGAAGAGTGGATGGGCTTCTTTGTTTTGTCGGCTTGGGCTTGTTTCTCATGAGTGAGGCAGAAAAAAGAAAAAAAAAATCCAGTGGCTTTTTATCAAGCGAGGAGAGAACGATAAAGGCTCAAGTCAGCCAACGAAACGGGCTGGGACAGTAAGCCTGAAGGTGTTGAGTCTGAGAGACAAGAAGGCCGAAGGGCTGAGCCCAAATGACACTTGGGTCTAAGGCCAGAAAGGTGTGAGCCTCCCAGTGAAGGTGGAAGCTGAGGGACCATGCCCGAAGGACACTTAGGTCTGAGACAAGCAAGGCTTCAGACAAGTCAGAGGTGATTGTCGGTGAAAGGGGCCAGCCATACCCCTGAAGACCATGGCTTGGGGTACCCCTATTTCCAAGAACACCAGAAAGGTGCCTGACAGTCAACGGTCACTCCCACGGGTTCAGGGAAGCATTTTCACAGACTGGGAGGAGGGGAACTCATGATTGAAGCCCATGTTGTGTGGAGGGGCACAGAGGACAGGTAGGTGCAAAGTGGGCTGTTGTCCAGGGTCCCCACGTGCCTCCTACCACCTGCGGGTGGGAGGCACTGCTGGGAGAGCCTCATAGAGTAAGGACACCAAATATTGTAGTTTAGCAGCAGCGGCAAGAACGAACCACAATAAACAACAAACCCACATGAGAGTTTATTAATAGAGGGGGAAAAGGGTGGTCATGGTGACGACCAGAAAAAGAAGTGGTGAGGAGAGCTAAGGGTGGGCAGCTTGCTTCAAAAGGACCCTTTGCCCAAACAGGTACCTAGGCCCCGGACTAACCAAGTATTTGCCTGATAAGTGCATGTATGTTGGAAAGACTCCGAGGCCCCTAGATGTTTACCTGGGTGCTGGCAGAGCATCGTGCCAGCTGACAGAGGCCATATTGCCTGAATCCTAACAAGAATTGAAAGATCCCAAAAGTCAAGGGGGTCTCAATTGGAGCCCTCTGCCCAAGAACCAGTCCACTGGATGCAAGAACAAGAGGCTGTTTATTGAATACACAGGCGCCTGAGGGTGCTTCAGCAGCGAAGCTGACTGAGCACCCCTGGCTGAGCATACACCTGATTTTTATAGGGAAGTTGTGGTTACATAGGCTGAGGCATAGCAACAAGCATTTCATTGGTTCTCATCAAGCGAGCTAGGGGAAAATCCAGGACAAGGGTGTTGGGTCATCTATATTTTCTCAGAAAAACCATAAAATCTAGATAAAGCTAAATTCAGCACTCTGGTTGTCTTGACAAAATGTCATGGGGACTTGTTACTGTTATCTTGGCGTTGGCCTAGTCCTCTGCAAAGCTAGCTGACCGCAAATATCCTATGTAGCTGGGCCTCACTTGGTTCCTCTTTTTGTGTGAGAAGCTGCCCCAGTTTTCAAGTCTCCTGTTTGGGTCTAAGGCTCTGTCATAAATGGGTAGGGGTCTTTCAGAATGAGTTCTAGGACAGCCAGGGGTACACATAAAATGTCCGGCGGAGATGGAGAGAGCATGAGACACAAACAAATCCACGTGTATAAGTTTATTAAGAAGATCTGTGCTGACGAGCTCGTGGGAAAACGGTGACGGTGACAGTGAACAGAGGGGGTGGAAGAAGAAGAGAGCGCGGGAATGGCGCCTTTAGCTTTTAAAGGCTTCCCAGTACATGCGCAAGAGGGGAAAGGCGTGTCTACACCAGACGCTGATGACGGGCGACGCTACTGCACCTGCGCG